TTGACTTTGCCATTACTGATAAGTTAGTGAAGACTTTATCTTCTTTGCACAGGTGCTCTATGTCCCCAGGCACTGGTGGCATTATGTAGAGTCAGTGGATCCTATCACCGTCAGCGTCAACTCCTGGATCGAGCTGGTAAGCAGCATCATGTCTCTTTCATCCCGAGCTCACCAAAAATGCCCCAAAATGACACAATATCATATATATTCCAAACATTTCAGAGTAGATGGCAAGTTATTATCCCGAACATGTTGATTCATGTTGTATTAAGGCTCCTCTCATTCTTGAGTAATGAACAGGACCAGCAGTAAAGTGTTTCCTGTCATTATGATGAGTGTATGTATATGAAGGGGCGTGAAAAAAGGCTCCCTGGTGCAAGACTCTGTTTATTCTCAGGTTTGTCCCACTCTAGTTGTTTTCTGCCAAGGTCACAGACACCACAAACTACTTCTTCTTATCATTGATGGTAACCATCTTGATCATGTGTGCTCTTTCCCGGCTCTCTGCTTCTACACAGGAAGTGGATGACATCGCCAGAGTTGGCGAGGCTGTGACTAAGACGGTTGTCTGTGCCATTAAAAGTGCTCGAAGCGATGACAACACTGACAACTGGCTCAACCCCACTGAGGTGACGAGTAATTACTCTTTGATATTAATTACTGTGTCAGTTTAAAAGCTGTCTTCTTACACCTTCTTCTCGCTTCTGTCAGGATCATATTCTGATCTAGTGCAAAGAAATGCAGGTTTTTGTTGCTTTTTCACAAAATGAAAATGAAACGCTTCACTGCTTCTTTCTCTGTTCTTTGTTGCTGTGTAGGGAATTATTTAGAGAGCAATTAGAGATGGACCGATCCGATATTACATATCGGTATCGGTCCGATACTGACCCAAATTACTGGATCGGATATCGGCGAGAAATAAAAAATGTAATTCGATCCATTAAATATCAAAAAAATACCTCACAAAACTTGCTACATGGCGTAACTCGGCTCATAACCGCAGCACGTCGCAGCAGTATGCATCACGTGATAGAGCGGCTGTGTGTATTTGTAGCCTCGCTACCAAACCAGCATTTCATCTCCGAG